AAAGAGACAAAAGGAAAAAAAGAGGAAAAGAGAGAGAAAAGAAACAGGAAAGAGAGAGGAGAAAAATAGAAAAGAGACAAGGGGGGGAAAAGAGAGAGAAAGAGAAAACAAAAGGGGGCCTGATCCTTATTTTTAAACTTTTCACGGAGCCCCTGCACTCCATTGCGGACCAACAGAGTGAGATCAAAGTGACTGTGAAATGTATAGTGTGTGGTTGGCGTTTAAACTAGGAATATAAAGGGGTAACTGGTTACCTGGTAAGCACTGCATTACTGGGGTGACTAGCTAACTGGTGCCCAGCTGCGCGACACTGTGGATTGGTTAACTGGTTAAACCTATAGTTTAACCAGTTAGCATTTTCAATGGGATTTTACATCTCGGCTGTGTCTACACTGGCATGAATTTCCGGAAATGCTTAAAACAGAATAGTTTTCGTTATAAGTATTTCCGGAAAAAGAGCATCTACATTGGCAGGCTGCTTTTCCGGAAAAGCCCCTTTTCCGGAAAAGCTGTGGCCAATGTAGATGCGCTTTTCCAGAAAAGAGCCCTGATCGTCATTTTCGCGATCGGGGCTTTTTTCCGGAAAAGACTACTGGGCTGTCTACACTGGCCCTTTTCCGGAACAGTGTTCTGGAATAAGGACTTATGCCCGAGCGGGAGCAGAATAGTTTTTCCGGAATAGCGGCTGATTTTGTACAGTAGAGCATCGTTGCTTTTCCGGAAATTCAAGGGCCAGTGTAGACAGCTCGCAGCTTATTCCGGAAAATCGGCTGATTTTCCGGAATCAGTGGCCCAGTGTAGACACAGCCCTCTAGTTTAAACTCCATGACAATTCATGAGATGGTACGAGCATTGTTTTCACTTACCTATATCTTGTTATAATTAGGGATGTCAATGATTAATCAGTGGAGCAGCCCACCACCCAACGTTTATCTGGTTAATTGATTAAACAGGATTTTACATCCCTAGTTATAATGTAGTAGCCAACATCTCCATTGCGTATACCCTGTAAGTGAATATCCCCTCAAACGAGGAAACAACTTGAGAATCCTAGGGCTGGAAGAGACCAACCTCCTGCCCAAAGAAGGACCAATCCCAACTCAATCATCCCAGCCAGGGCTTTGTCAAACTGGGATTTTAAAACCTTTAGGGACGGAGATTCCACCACCTCCCTAGGGAACCCATCTCAGTGCTTCCCCACTCTCCTAGGGAACAAATATCAGAGGGGTAGCCGTGTTAGTCTGGATCTGCAAAAGCAATGAGGAGTCCTGTGGCACCTTATAGACTAACAGAAGTGTTGGAGCATAAGCTTTCGTGGGCAAAGACCCACTTCGTCAGATACGTCTTTGCTCACGAAAGTTTATGCTCCAATAAATCTGTTAATCTATAAGGTGTCACAGGACTCCTCGTCACCTCCTAGGGAAATAGTTTTT